TTGCAGGTGTGTACTACCATGCCTGGCAGATAGCCCCCCTTTTAAATATGATATCCTTTTTTGTCTCTTGTAGCAGTTTTTGGCTTAAAGTTCTTGCCATCTATCTCTGGGTACTGGTTGTGTGGAGTATGCCTTCCGTTCTTTCACTTTCAACTTATTTGTGTTTAAGGCTCTAAACAGCATGCCCTGCTGACAGTATAGAGTCAGATCATGTTACTATTCTCCAATCCAGCCTTTGAATTGGAAATTTTATTCCATTGATATTTATTTACACTGACCTTTGTCTCTCACGTTTTATGTCTTTATTGTTTTTCCTCATTTCTTCCGTTATTGTTTCGTGTTTTTTATTTTGCTTTGGTAGTGTATCAGTTTGGTTCCCTCCTCAATTCCTTTTCTGAATATTTTTAGAAATGTGTATTGGTTAACATATTAGCTTTCTTCTAATATAGCAAATGTGTAAGATGATCGTGTTATAAAGAGAAATGACATACATCAGTTCATAGTTTACAAGGTTCCAGTCCAGGGTTGATTACCCCATGTTGTCCTCACTGCTTTATGCCTTTGGCAAGTGGCACATCATGGTGAGTGTATGTGGCAGAGAAAAACCACTTGCCTCATGGAGACAAGTCAAAGTGGAAGAGAAAGGGGAAGTGGCAGCACACTCCAGGTCCGGTTCCGGTTCGGGGGTTCGCCTGTGTGACCAAAGTACCCCTCACTAGGCCACACCTCTTAAAGGTTCCAGCCCCTCCCAGGGGCACCACTCTGGGGGTGGCCTTTAGCACATGGGCCTTTGTGGGGCCTCCAACATGCAAACTTTAGCACCTAATCTGGAGGTGCCCATTAAATCTGAACTATGCAACAATTTAGTTTAAATTAATACAAAATAACACCTGATCCTTGGCATAGGAAATTTGAATCTGAGTGTTTTGTTTTGGTTGCCAGCTTGGGGCGGGGGTGAGCTATGGCCTACTTCTGTGATGCATCTTTGCAACATGTGAGCAAGAAATGCCCAAGCACAGGAAATGAAACGAGCAGGCTCAGGTACATAGCAGAAGCATTGGCTTCTGGTGAGTGGCTTGGGCATTATTTGCCCTGTGGCCGTGTCACCGCTGCTTCTGGCTTCTTGTGGTCTTTTCCTCTGTGTTGCACCACCTGTAACCTCTTCTAAGCATCCTTACTGCTGGGTTTGGGGCTCACTTGGGTGACCCTGGATCTCATCGTGAGATTAACTGAATTATACCAGCAAAGACCCTTTTTCCAAATCAGTTATATTCACGAGCTCTGGCAGTTAGGATATGGACATAATATGTGGGGCATCACTGAACTCACCATTGGGAGTCAGAGAGAATGAATTCTGTAGCTTTCACCAAGTGGATACACTTGGCCTTAGAAGTTCAGGAGTACTACCGGAACCTACAGAATCTGTAGGACATTCCAGATACACCTGCCTGGAGTGAGATTTTCCCTTTTGTGTCATTATAGCACTTTAAATCTAGAAAGAACCTCAGAGAGGAGCATCATATACTACTTAAGATGTAATGGTAGTCATAGTAACCACAGCAGGAGGAGCCAGCATGTACTTAGCACTGATTGGACACCTGGCCATGTTCATATATATTTCATATATATTCACTCATGAAGTCCACCCAGCAATGCCAACAGGTGGGTGTTATCGTTACCATATTTTATAGAAAAGAAAATGGGCACAGAAAGGTTGGATGACTTGTTCAAGGTTGCACAGCAAGGGTTGCACAGCAAGGCTGCACAGCAAGGTTGCACAGCAAGGCTGGGATCAGAACCTCATCCATCTAGCTCCAGAATCTGTGCTCTAACAGCTGCACAGGCAGCAGAAAGGAGACTTCTGGGTTTTCCCAGAATACATCTCAGCACAGCCCCTTTCCCCAGGCCCAGAAGTGAGACTCCCTTCATCCTGAGCATGTGGACTGGCCAGACTAGAGGGATTCCCCCAAACCTTCTCCACTCTAGGGTTACTGATTTTCATGGCAGGGAGGAAAGGCAGGAGCTTGTCTTCCAAATTCATAAAGGACCTTGAAGATAGCAGGACCAGGGTGGAAGCATCTGATTGGCCCATGTTGGGTCAGTCATGCTGAGATGAATCAGCATTGACTTTGTGCCTAGTTCTGTGCTGGACAGAAGGTGGGAAAGGAGAGGCGGTGAGGATACTGTCCCCCTTGAGAGTTTGCCATCTTGGGAGAGATGAGATTTCTGAACTTGAAATTATCAGCTGTTTGTGTTCACTAGTGGCAGTTGAGGCTATACTGCT